GTAGGGAAAAACCCAATTCTTTCCTACTGTGTTTTGCTCCTGTGTTTTTAATTTACTACTCACACAAAGCACTTCACTTCTGACACTTTTGGTCGCACATATGTGGGGAGTTTTCCCCACAATAACAAGCTAGTCTTGACACCACCTGGGTGTCCTGCAGTTTAACTCAATTCTAACACTGTCTACCTAGAGATGGTGTCAGATCCCACAGGTTAAGGACTCAGTCCTCACATACATACACACACACACACACACACACACACACACACACACTTCAGACACCAGTCACAAGCTTAGGTTATCACCTGTGCTTCTGACCAACTGGCTTTAGACTGGACATTCCAACAACCCTCTCCTTGGGTTTGACTGATTTACTAGAGAGGCCCACAGAACTCAGGGAAACACGTACTTACATTTACCAGTTGGTTAAAGGATATGATAAAGAATACAAATAAACAGCCAGATGAAGAGGTACATAGGGCTACGCCTGGGAGGGTCACAAGCATAGAAGCTTCTGTCCCCATGGAGTTGGAGTGCGTCTTCTTCCCAGTGTTGATGTGTTTGCCCACCTAGAAGCTCTTCAAACCCCCTACTTCTGGGGTTTTATGGAGTCTTCCTCACAGAGGCATGATCAATTATTAAACTCCATTTCCAGTCCCTCTGGAGTATGAGAGGGTGGGGCTTCTAATCAAGGCTTGGTCTTTCTGGTGACCAGCGCCTGTTCAGAAGCCCACTCAGAGTCACCCCAAGAGAATGAAAGATGCTCCTAATGCTCTTATCACTTAGGAAAGTACAAGAGTTTCAGGAGCTCTGTGCCAGCAACCAGGGGCAGAGACCAATATACATTTTCCATTGTCTCCAAGTCCACCAACCCATCATCAATTTCCCTCTCCTCGAAACCTCTAAAGCACTTAAAGCCTGTGCCAGAAAACTTAGCAAACATATCTTAATGTTTCCTGTTTTAGTCTGGATTATAAGCCACATGGTTCAGACACCATATCTCATATCTACTCTGTTTGCCTCTCGGCACCTAACCCAGTATTGGGTACCCAGCAGGTATTCTCTATCATCCATCCATCTACCTACCTACCCATCTATCATTTCATTCTCTTCTTACTCACAAGATCAATCCTTGTTGTCTCCACCCTAACCTAAACTGCTCATGCAGTTCTTCATTTCCTCTCTCCCACCATTCCCAACCAAAAAAAAATTTTTAATTAAAAATCTTACCTTAAAGCCAAGTGCAAAAACGCACGTGACTTGTCAGTAGACTCAACAGTGTTAGAAAAACTGTCAAGATAAGAGCTACCTACTTTTTCCCACCTCAGTAGAAGGTGGGAAAAAACTCAGACCTTTGAAAGTTTTGAGGAAAAACTTTTTTAAACTCACTTAAACATTTAATTATGGTGAATATACTTTAATTTTCTGAGACAATCCTGATTTCAAATATTTAGCCTCATTCTCAGACCATATCAATTGTTTAGGAATTCAAAAAATATTACCACCATACAGTGAAAGACATTTAATTTTAACTTTTTAGCTCATTCCATAAAAATGTAAATTAATGAGGTGTTGCAAAGCTTAGGACTTACTTTAATGACTAAACTAGAATTACTTATAATTAACACAACAATTCTAGGCTTACAAATAGATGCTGCTCTTCTTAAGTGCTTAAGGAGCTTGAAAACGTTTGTTCTTTTAATTATTTTGTATCACTTACCTTGTAGTGCTTAAGTTTATATTATTGACTTTAATTGATGAAAGGATTTGCTAATACCAAAAGATTGGCTGGCATATTTTCAAATTAATTCCATATCATAAAATGAAATGAAAGGAGATTGTACTATGGTAGTTTTAAAATTCCATTAATTTTTAGTATATTCACAAAATTAATTTTTAAAGTGTTTTCTATTTTATCTAATCATATTGGAACTCTCTATGGTTTTCTCTTACAGGAAAACTAGGACTAGAAGAATATGCCGTCTTTTATCCACCAAATGGTAAGAGCAATGCTATTGCTCCCTCTAGTGGGAAATAGGAAAATTACAACTTTTATAAATAGCACTGTGACTTCTTATCTTTAAATGGATAATAATTTATCATCTAAAATAAACCTTCTATAGAATAACTATTCTAATTAGTTCCATGTTTGTGGTAGGTTTTTGCTGAACTGTGCATATCCTTTCTGATTTTCCTTGAGACTAGTAGTAGCATTTGTGAGAAAGCTAAGACTCAGGTGTCTAAGTCCAGGGTGCTTAGCTTTCCTCTGAAGGACATTAACTCGTCCGTCTAGGACCTTCCTTTTGGCTTTATTGGAGCAGTGCCCTAATGAGTGGATTGCCTTGTGTTGCACTTTATTGTTCTCATGATTTGACAAGTGTAATATTTATGAAATAAAAATATTTCAAGAAATACATCACTGAAAAAAGTATGTTTTGATTAAAGTGATCAAATGTATAGTGACCCCCTTGAATATTATTTATTTGAGATTATCAGATAGTTTTAAGATATGCTCCTTGGAAAAGCAATATATGGCAGAGTCCTTATTATGATACTATAATGTTGCATCCTGAAGAAGTTCTTTTACTCCAGCAGAGTTAAGAACGTGGGCTTTGTAATCCTGCAGACCTGGGTTCAGATCCCAGTTCTGCCAACTCACCCTATGACCTTGGGTAAGTTATACATCTTCACTGAACTTCAGATTTGTCATCTATAGCACATGGGTAACAGATTAAAGGAGATAACACTGTATGAAACAGCACCAGATGTGTAGTGAGTGCTCACAAAATGCAGCTGATACAAGTTGCGTTTAGCTTCTTTACTGACCAGCCCATCTGAAACTCATCCTTGGCTTTCATGGCCCTGTCCTCTCCTTGTACCTCTCAGTGTGCTGTCCCAGGTTCCTTCACAGGCTAGCCTCCTCTGTCCCTCTTTAAGCACTGGCACTCCAATGTCCCACCCCACTCTTGTTCTGCTGCTCTTTTTTTTTTTTCTGCTTCTCTTCTTTTAACACATTTTCCTAGGGCTTCTTATCTGCTCTCTTCTATTTGTTAATTACTCTAAAACTGATATCTTCAATTCTGACTTCTACATTATTTAACTCAAATTTAACCTGAACTAATTAATCTTCATATGCCCACTATTTAAAAAAGAAAAACAACAAAGGCAAACTTAAATTTAAAAAACAAAATGACAACAACAAGATAAACCAAACACTGTCCTGTTTCTCTCTCCCGTTAATTGTACTCTCATTTAACCAGTAATTCAAGGCCTGAAATCTGGTAGTCATCCTTGATTCCTTTCAATCTTGGACCCCCTTCATCTAATAAATCACCAGGATCATCCAGTCTTATCTTCAAACTACATCTGGAACCCTCTCTACCTCGCCATAACTACTACCTTGCCCTCATTCAGGCTTTACTATCTCTAGTTTATTCATTGCAACTGACACCCAACTTGTCTCCCTTCCTCCAGTCTTTTCTAGCTTTTCTCTGTCTTTTACAATGCTATCTCAGTTATATATCTAAAAGGAAAATCTGAAAATTGCCATTTTTCTCCTTAAAGTTTTATTAATGGCTCCCCATTTCTTTATAAGCAATGTCCAAGCCTCTCAGCATGACTTAAGACAACCTCTCTTGACTGTGGCCCCTATTCAGTCTAACTCCTAGCTTCATTTCTCACCATTTCCCATTTCACTTTTTTAAAAATTGCAACAATATCAAATTATTAATTCTTTACACAAACACAGCTACATACTCTCAAAAATGCACTATGCTGTTTTCCTACCTCATGACTTCTGTTCCTATGCTTGTAATAGCGCATTCAACATTTCTTCACCTGGCTGCCTTCTGGGTCAGCTCGGGCATGATCCTCTTCAGGAGACTTTCCTTGGAACCCCAGGTGAGGTTAAGGGCCCTTCCTCTAGGCTCCCATAGTACCCAGTGTGAATATCTTTGGTATCTCTTACTATATTATCTTGGCATTAATTGTTTATGCTTTATCTCCCCCTCTAGATTGCAAGCCTCTTGAGGTTTAGGACCATATCATTCATTTTTGCTCCTCCAGTATCTAGCTATAGTAGGACCTTAATGAGTATTTATTTGAACTAAATTAGAGGCTTTTTAATCTTAACATTTATGTGTAAACTTTGTTACATCTGTCTCCCCAGAAACTTAATTTTCGTATAACTTTTTATATTTATATAAGAATCAGAAAATAAGAAAAAATAAATACCTCTGAAAGGCCAAATGAAATGTCCGTGGAGCCAAGTTTCTTTTCTCTAGTCATATAATAGGAGAGCTTTTCCAACTTAGTTTAGAATATATTCGCTTTTACTTAACACACATGCCTAACAAACTTGGTTTGCTGGTTTTTATGACCCCTGTAACAAAAGAAGTATAGAAAGAAACTGATATACATAGGAAAAATGATTAACAGTAGAAGTAAAAATCAGAGACCTCACAAAGGAAAATAGAAAAGCTATAAAACAGCATATAAAAGCACTCCTGCAAATCAGTCTGGGACCATTTTATGTAAAAGCCAATAACCCTCCACCCTTTAAATAAGTATCATTGGGTTGTAACATATTATATTAATTTAAGACTTTTATAATGAGCTAAGGGCACCAAGAAAAAGAATATTGCTATAACAATAATAGTAATAGTAGTCACAGCAGTAGCAGCTAACATCTTTCCATGCAGAACTAAATACTAAGCAGTGTGCTAAGTACATCCCACGTATTAATTCATTTAATCCTTTCAAGAACTTCTGAGGCAGCTACTAGTATTATCCTTATTTATAGATAAAGAAGCTGAGGCACAGAGTATTAACTTGCCCAGCTGGTGAGTGGCAAAGCCAGGCTTTGAACCCAAGTACTTTGACTTCAGAAAAGAAGTCAGACTTTAAAAAAAAACAAAACTTTCTTTTAAAAATATGTGTTTATCATTTATTTTTGGCTGCGTCGGGTCTTAGCTGCAGCACGCGGGATCGTCGTTAAGGCATGCAGGATCTTTCATTGCGGCACACAGGCTCTCTGTGCATTGCAGTGCACAGGCTTCTCTCTAGTTGTGGCGTGCGGGTTTTTCTCTTCTCTGGTTGTGGCACGCAGGCTCCAGAGCATGTGGGCTGTGTAGTTTGAGGCACGCAGGCTCTAGTTGAGGCGCATGAGCTCAGTAGTTGTGGCATGCGGGCTTAGTTGCCCCGAGGCATGTGGGATCTTAGTTCCCCACCAGGGATCTAACCTGAGTCCCCTGCATTGTAAGGCAGATTCTTTACCACTGGACCACCAGGGAAGTCCCAAGAAGCAGTATTCTTAATCATCATGCCCTACTACCTCAGAAAAATGTTGACTGAGTTCATTGTAGTATCTTTTAGAAGAAAATTAAGCAGTTAATATATTGAAAAATTTGATGTATATAACAGGTTCTAGAAACAATTTCATCCAGGAAAAAAAAATAGTTTAATGTTTAATGGGATAAACCCATTTATTATAAGCTTCTGAAAGAAAAATCCTACTGAATTTTGGAAAGAGAAGATTGTGGTATTTTAATTTACCCACCTTTTTTGATTCAAGATCTATATTTACCCCTCTGGCATGAGAAAGCTGCACCAGGAATGTGGGCAGTTGTCTTTATAGCCACCAAACTAGAGAGTGGGGGGTAGTAGGTGGGTAAATTAAAAGCTGTTCATAAGCTGTTCATAATCTTAATACTTAAGTATCAGGGCTTCCCTGGTGGCGCAGTGGTTGAGAGTCCGCCTGCCGATGCAGGGGACGCGGGTTCGTGCCCCGGTCCGGGAAGATCCCACATGCCGCGGAGCGGCTGGGCCCAAAAACTTAAGTATCATTTCTTGTCTCAGGTTGTTTTAGAACCTTACCAGAATCAGAGGAGATTCTTCTCTGGGGACTGATTCTGAAACTGCAGAACAAGAAGAGACAAAGAGCAGTCGGCCCACTGTCCCTTTTCTCTTTACTCAAGGCAATACCACCCAACATTTGTATATTACCCGCCCTGTTTTTCAACCTCTGCCAAAGATGGGATTACTTTGAAATCTCAAGGACACCTCTCCCACTGCCACCAAAAGTGGCCTGGCTTTCGTGGTCACAGGGGCTCACCCAGAGAGCTTTGCCTGCAGCTCACTGACACTTTGTCCACCCCTGGCCCGGCAGCTGCTTAAACGGGGACAGAGGTTTGCTCACTCACTTTCCCACCTGTGATCTCCTTTCCTAGGATGGAAATAACAGGCCATCATGGCATCGGACATTACCCTGTCACCTTATTTAAAGCCTTGTCAGTGGAAAGACTTTCTCTAGTAGATTTATTAAACAACTGGTGAGCAAAAATTTCTGAGCTGAAGGAGACTCCTCACAGGAAATTTTTAAGCTTTTCTTGTTTTTACTCTTTGTTCAACATGTGTAACTTTATCTATTCATTTAATAAATACTTATTAAAGGACACAGATAAAGTACCTGCTGCCAAGGAGCTTACATTCTAGTGAGGGAGATGTCCAATAAACAAGTACATAAGTAGCTACCGTAAATAAATAACTCTGAAAATAATTTCAGAGAGTGACGTGAACAATTAAAGGAAACAGAAATCGATAGTAGGTAGGGAGGTGGGGGAAGGGCACAGCTATTGTAGATAAGGAAGTCAGAAAAGATGCCTCTGAGGAGGTAGAATGTGAACAGAGCCCAGAATGTGCAGAGTGAGCTGTGCAAAGGAGGAGGGGAAGAGCACTCCAGAGGGAATGCAACATGTTTAAAGTCCTAAGAGGAGCACACTTGATGAACTAAAGAGCAACAGGATGGCCAGTGTGACTCATGAGAGTGAGCAAAACATAAACTGGTACAAGGTGAGGTGAGAGGTAGACAGGGGCCAGGCCAGTTGTTCTACAGTTTTGTCTAGTAAGTCCAATGTCTGGGCTCCTTTAGAGGCAGTTTCTATTAATTTCTTGTTTTGCTGTGAATAGACTATACTTATTTCTTTGCATGCATAGTAATTTT